TTCAGAATTTTTGGACATTGTATCTTCAAGGTATCAATCTTTCAAAGTATCCATGTTATCTATAGAAAAGTGCCTATATTTTCAAAAATTGATACCTTGAAGATGCAATGTCCAAAAATTCTGAAATTTTTTATACAAGCTACTCTGATTGAGGCCTTCATTTGGGCAAAGTTTCAGGTCGAAATTCAAAAATGTGATTTTTCTGTAGAACTAGGGTCCAGTAGGAAAAATCCACTAAAAATTCAATATCTCTGTCAAATCTCAATATGGTTACGAATCCTTTGGAGGTTTCTCTAATCTAGTGGTCCCCTGTCTAATGGACAACATATAAGCTCAAAAGCTTTTAATCACTTGGGAACGTTCCCTCGTTAGAATTCTTAGTAAACTTCTTAGAGCCTATCATTGGACGCCATCTGCGTTACAACAGTTTTCTATGTTAATACTTTTTTTCTTTTTTTGAGTGTGAGTGGCAATATTCAAGCGAATGTACTCATCTTTTAAGTAAATTACGACCATAGACTGAACCACGGATCGACTCAAAAATATCAAGAATTAATCATGTATTTGATAAAAAGTAGTACAAAGCTGACTTGACACTTGTCTTCGGGTTAAAAAGATTAATATAAAAAAACATGTCATCCATCATAATTCTCTTTATACTAAAGTCATCGAAGCAAAACTGTGTCTCTGATGCACACTTTTAACTAATTAATTTTCAAGTCTCTAGCATTTATAATCACTGAGATTCCTTGCGGCAGAGACTTTTGTTCACTATTGCAGATTTTATGAAAAACCGAATATACTTGAAAATTTCATTTCTCGACAAAGAAATATTCTTTTCGACTGAAACTTTCAAGATATTCTATAGATCATTAAACCTATGTATAGGCGAAACTTGACATCGAAATTCTGTTTTTTCATATTTCAGCGTATATCTAAAGCTCAGTTGAAAATTCAGTAATACGAGCATCACGTACTTCTAAAGATTTATGTTTAAATGATAACTGTAAAAGTTCATAATACATTTTGTTATTTGTATGTAATAAAAAACCAACAAATTGTTTATTCTTGTCGAGTATTCTAATCTGGGCAAGTTTTTACTAACGAATAAAATATTAATTTGAATATAATAGAAAAAGTTTTTATCATTCATAATTCATAATTCATCTTTCTTCTACATTAACGTTGGCAGACGTCATCTGTTATGATCGTTCATAGATGGAGTAATACGTAAAAAATTATTTCTAAATGGTTACCAATTTTTACCATAAACTATGTTATTGCTTTTATTATTTTTCTTTTCCTTATGCTCCATTTAAACATTTAATATAGAAATTAATTATTATTATATTATAACAATTTATTTTCTTTTTTCTTTTTATAAAAAAATATCTTATTTATAGAGTAAATTATAGAAATAATTCGAGTTTATTTCCTTATGTTTTATTTTTAGACATATATATATATATATATTTCTCTAAATATAGAAGATGTCATTTATTGAAGGTATCGGTGATGATTTTCTATATGTATTTGGTTTTTTACTTTTTATTGGTATTGTTTCCCTTGCTTGGCTTTCAACACATGTTAATTATATTCATTTTCCTACAACATTATTTATTATTGAACGACGAACACGTAGAAACAATGGTAATAGATATATTTCTTTTTTTTAAAAATAATGATTTATTCATCATTTTTCTCTTGTTAAAATTTAGAAGATGAATCAGAAAGAACAAGTTCAGTATCACCATCAAGATTAACTCCATCAAATGAACAATCTACATTTCCATCATCTGAAAATGAAATACAAACAGAACATGAATCTGATAATGAGTATGATTAATATATAATATTTTAGTAATTTTGTTTTCTCTTGATGATTTAGATCAAGTGATGTTGATGAATTTAATTCTGAACAAATACCATTAGTAACAGAATCAAATATTACACAAATACAACAATCAGAATGTAGACATACAAATTCTGTAGATACAAATAATCAACAACAAACAACGTCTAATGAAGAAGAAAGTGAATCATTAAAAATTATTATTAAATTTCTTAATGATACAAAAAAAGAAATATTAGCTAATTCAAATGATACAATATCAAAAATTAAACAGTAAGAATTAAACTGATTTTTTAATTTTCATGAGTTCGATCGATCAATTTTCAGAATGAATTATTCAGTAGATTTGTTCATAGTCAAACTTCATAACACAATATTCAAATCTTCTAAAATAAATTCGACTTTTCTCAACTAGCAAAAAAAACCTATCTAGTCAATATTGTATCATACGAATTTCACAAAATAGATTTTAATCATAGTCATATTTTTCACTGTATTAACATAGGAATGTACAGTTTTAGTTTGCTGGCCACCGACATACGAGACGATCTTTTCAAATATTCAATTAGTTTTTCACAAAATCTTACTGAATTATAAATCGGCTATCCTAAGTTTGAAAACCAACATAAGAAATCCTCTTAAGTATTGCACGCTATATTTCTAGATTAATAAATATTTTATTAAAATCGTTTTAAAATTGCTCATGTTGCAGAGTGTATCGAGTTGCCTATGAATCAATAACCTTTTCTGTTTTTCAAAAATAAATTTCAAGTAAAATAATATCGTCTTGAAGATTTTTAGCTTGGAATATTAATACAGTTGTTGGAAAAGGTTCGCGTTCAAGTAATAAGTGTCTAAACTTTAACCCATTTGTCTCATAATTTCACCATAAATAGAGTATGTCGAACTCTAATCGACTTTCACGTGAAAACACTAGAAGGTCAACATAGAAAACAAATCTGATGATGTTCGAACATCTTAGCATTATTTCTGTGGATCAATAAAAAACTCCATATAAAACGACTTTAGTTTGCTTGATTTATGAAGTAAACTTATCTTTGGTTAATTTTAACCATATGCTACGAAATTTTTTCGCGGGAGTACCTTATTCTAATCAATTTTTGTTTCAAAATTTCGCAACCAGAGCCTACAATGGAAACCTGATCTATGCTAAATCCATCTCAGACAATGGAGGTTTCGTCACGCCTCAAGATTACAGCGCATTGAAGTATTTTATCTGTAACACAATATAGACATGCGAATCTTTATTTATTAATAAGAAATGCAAGCTAACGCATTTAAATAATGGAAAATCAAACAAGTTCGTTTTTAGTCTTAGAAAAAAAAGACCTAAAGTTTTCATTATAAATCCTTTGCATTAAAGTCTATCGAATTCAGGTTGTTGTTTGTGATCAGGATTTGCCCAGCTCTATTTTTTATCAAAATATCAAGCAAAACATTTGAAGTTAATGTTCTTTTTATTCAGTAGCGAAACTTCTTACGACTACTATTTGTATCTGTTGTACCAATGAAAATAGCTGTGTTTTCTTCAAAAGAAAACAATTTGTTATAGAGAGTAGAATCATATTCACTAAAGCATTGAAAGACACCCTCTATAAAAAAAAATAAATGCGAAAACCTCGGATTTAAATCCGAGTGTTATGTGTACTTCAAAAAGTGAAAAGGTATATTCACTGTGTTTTTTATCACTAAATTGCAAGGAGAAAATACAGACGTGCTAA